GTCAATGATTTAACCATGTCGAGTGATTGTACACAACTGAATTCTTTATTCGCAATTCTTACTATTTATACAAATGATAATTCTCATGATGTTCTAACAAATTACATAAATATTTTAAACATAAATGGCCACAGGTGTAAGTATTATAATTTTGATATTTGTTATAATTGTACTTGATTTGATCAACTTTGAAATATTTCAAGAGGTCTAGAGATAGACGTAAATCACCAAAACTATCAAAATAGAAGACATTTTTACCATTTTTTCGGTATGCCACCCAATGTGTACCTGGTCCAGAATTATCATCAAGGTTTACAACTACACACTCGTTGACGCGTGGTCGCGTGGGTAGAGAGTTCCTCATAAAAACACCACGAAAGTTTGGAATTCGTAATTCATGAGCATACTTTTTTGTATCGTAATCTGTTAAAGGACGATGTGGCAGTTTTAAATCAAAGTTTTTTTTTTTTAAATGTCTTTATAATTTTTTTTTCTTAATAACTTTATTTTTAGGCTTCTTGACTTTACTATTTGTACTGAAGGCTAAACCAAAACCTTTTTGATATGGCCTCAAATATAAACCTTTACCAAGAGCTAAAGCTTCAACACGTTTGTTATGCCTCGACTGTTCTTCTAATTGTTTTTTTAAAGATCCAAGTGCGCTAAGTCCCGCGAAAACAGGAACGAGTGCCGGTAGGAAACCTCCAACTTTAGGGATTGGAAGTATTCTTGGTAAATTAATATTTTTCTTTCCACCAAAATTTTTTATGGTTTTTCGTGCTGCGTTTAAAGCACTCTTAATAACAATTTTCGAATCATTGCTAGGAGTTATACATTTTTTTGTCATGCTGAGAAGTTTTTTCATTGTTAAAGTCTTTCTTTTTTTAGAATTTTTTTTCGACGAAGTCTTCCTTTTCTTAGAACGCTTCTTGCTAAGTCCCATTCCGAACATTGATTTTGCTTTCATGATGTTTGTAACGGCATATGCTGCAGCTCTTTCACTTAAGTTAGCGTCAGAACTATGTACACGTTGCCAAGCTTTTTCAGCCAATACTTTGTCTGCAATGTTTCGTGCTTGAATATCCTTATTTTTGAGTAAGCAATGTCGTGATCTTTACATGCAGCGTCCAGAGGATTAATGCCAGGATCTCCTCGATTTAATCGCTTATATAGTTTTGTACCAGGTCCGCAATATTGATAACCAGGTATGTGAGCCTCAATGGGTAGATTATTTATCAAGTTATTTACTAAACTTCTACCAGTCTTCCTTTTCTTTTTTTCTCTCGTGGGCGATCATAGTCGAGTGATTAGTAGTGAATGCGTAAAAAACTTAAAAATACACTCTTTTATAGCATCGATTATCAGTTGTGATTCAGAGTTTAGAGTGAAATGGATGTAGAGGAACAGTCTCTCAAGCTTCCTGTGATAAATTTTGACGCGTTGACAGACAAAAGTGAAAAGAAAAGTAAAAGACATGGGGATCTATTGCCCGACAGCATACGTGCAGTATGCTGTGGTGCATCTAATTGTGGTAAGACGAATGCGCTTTTAGCTCTTCTAACCCATCCTAATGGTTTAAAGTTTGAAAATATTTACCTATATTCTAAGTCGCTTAATCTCGGAACCGATCGCGATAGCTACGGGGGATGAGGTGATCAAGAGGGTAAAGTCAATAATAAAACCATAATTAATAAAGACTTGAGTTTATTAGATCAACTATTCCGTAGGTCAGTCCAGTGGTCAATCCCTCGCGATGGTCTGCCTGCTCTAAGTTGATAGGGACACGAATGGCGTACCGCGACGCAACGTCGACTTGGGCGAGCAATCGTTGATACGAGCGGTCTCGATGGATTACGAACGCGCGGTTATGCAATATTCAAATTATTTACTTCGCGTACTAGCTCAGGAAGGTCAGGCTATTCAATCGACATTACTAACACCTCAAAGCAATAATCTTATAGTGAAAGACAAGAGCTAATAATGCGCACATAGAACACGTCGGTTGAACGAAGGTCAGATACGACTCGCGCAATATCCGATCGGCTTCACACTAAGGAATTCGTCAACGTGCGTATGCGACTTGTCGCCCGCGCGAAGGTCGTTCGGCAATCAACGGGTAATTACAAAGGGCATCCACGAGAACTAGCGTGCACGGGTGAATCGGCCGGTCACGTAAAGGTCAAGCTTTATCTAATCGGTCGGCAACTTATGCGGGAAATCGTTCCAATAAATCGGCAATAATTGTGCGGACGCGGACAATTACTTCACTCACAAACGGAATAAGGCTCGTTTTTAATCGGCAACTCGTTAAAGTTAGGCGAAGGTTTCGCGGCACATAGACGCGCGCACGTGAAAAATTCGCCTTCGGACATTAAACGGCAACGGCGCGACAACGAACTTTGCTCGAAAGGTCGGTGACGAAAATGTGCGCAAGTAGATCGGTCTGGCGCGCGAAGGTCGTACGGCACTCCCGAAAACACGGACGTTTAAGCGATCGCGCGAAGGTCATACGGCACTCCCAATAACGCGATTAAACAAAAGATGAGCGTACTTACTCGGGTGCCTTTTCGATATGAACGCGACTGCGGCTGCCGCGGCTAACACCGCTGTAGCTACCGCTACTGTAGTTGCTGTCGCTCCTGCCGTTGCTGCTGTTGCTACTGCTGCTAGGCTATTGCTGCTATCTGTTGCTGTTCACTCTACTGCGGCTACTGTTGTTTGCTGCTGCTGCTTCTCGTTTGCTTTCTGCTGCTTCTCGCTTGTTTGCTCTGTTGCTGCTCACTCTGTTGCTGCTCACTCTGCTGCTGCTGCTCACTCGCAGGTTTAGGCCTGGTTCGCTCCAGAGTCTAGCGGTACGTTTGGTTGGCATCAGGGCTGAACGAGTACTGGCGCGGCGTTTTTCGGCGACGCGCCGCTTCTCCTTGCTTACCTCTCCTTAACGGTTATGCGATTGGTCGGTTTGTTGCTAAGACGGATATTAGCGCCGTCTATATCGGTATTTCTTGCCCGTGTAATTTCGTCATTGGTCGAGTCTTGGCGTCTAATTTCCCTACTGGTTGCGAAGACAGCGTCGGTTTTACTCCATTTGTCTAGCTACCCCTAAGCTGATAACGATTGGTTAGTCCGTTAGCGTCGCTTGCCTATCCTTGTCTATCTGCTTCTCGTTGGCCTTGCCGGTTCCCCTCACTCGCGTCCGATCGGTCTCGTATTGGTTGTCTCGCTCGCTCTCGTATCGGTTGTCTCGCTCGCTCTCACACGCTCGGTTGCCCCTACTTCGGTCTAGCCAGGTCTGCCTTAGTTAACGGGGGCTTGCGATCAGCTGATTACAGCTGGAATCTTTAAGGGCTTCCAGCTTCCCGGGGGAGTGTCGGACCGGGTCGTGAGTGTGCGAGGGGTTGTACGCGGGCGTAAGGGTCGTGCGCATCGGTCGGGAAAACTTCGGGGGATCATAAGTCGCGAGATCTGGACATGCGTGGGCGGGTATATGCGGCAATAGCCGTTTGGCCGCACGTTTCTAGCAGGAGCGGCGCTAGCATAAGGTAGCATAGATTTCTGTGATGACGCGTCATCACACTCTTAATAAAGTTTTTGTACAATGCTGTGTTTGTAATTCAGTTATTTTTATGCAGACTACAAATTCATATTTCAAAGGCAAGTATTTTGATATTAAGACACTGGTAAATCTAATATAAGACATTTATTTACATTATGACTAATTCTTTTAATTTTTCTTGATTAGAATTTTTTAATTAATGTTCTTCATTGAACAAAACTAAACCTACTTCATGCTGTCTTGATTTCTAATATACGTGCATGTAATTTGAATGCTTCATAACTAATTATAAGGAGTATTGGATTGGTACATCGTCAATTATAGGTTTTCATAAATCCAGTCAATTTTTTTGTCTATATCGGCTTTGCTGGCATCATCCAGAGGTTTAACATGATTTTCTAGCTATTTAAAAATTTTATTGTACCAATTTTTAACTAAGAAACTTGGTGCTACAATAATTGCTTTATTTGTCAATGGCTTAGCTTCTGGACCTCGCTTTAGTAATGTCCACAACAAAGTTAGACACTGCAAAGTTTTACCCAAACTCATTTCATCAACCATGATACATTCAATTACATTATCTATTTTTTTTCCATAGTGACACATTCTTACATGAATTTGATACCTCTTTGATGAGGTCTTAAAATATTGCACAAAAGTGGATAATCAACCACTATATGAACAAGTTTTTTTGTTCTATAAAGAATAAAATCATTTTAAATTGTATCATAGAGGTAAATGTTTCAGTTTAACGAGCATTCAAAACAATGCATATTACTTAACTTGTCAATTTTTAAGCTTATTTTTGGAGATGTATACTATTAATAATTAACAAATTCTATTAATATTTCTATTAATTTAAAAAAATAAAAATACAATATCTATTTAAATTTATATTTTCGGGTTAAGTTTTCGATTACCTTGAATTTTAAATTTATGATTGTGATATACCAACATGTGAAATGTGGAACGTGGAACAAAGTTGGATCGTATTTATTTTTATTATTTCTTGTTTATCGAACAAAACGTACTATCTGACGCAATCATAAGAGAAGCAGAAGTAGTTTTACATTTAATAGTTTTCTCTATTGAAATTTAAATCGATCAATAGGTAAATATACTGTTCCTCCTCTATTTTCTTTACACGTCTATCAGTTATATATTAATATTATTTTAAGTATCTTATTTGTTAGGGTTACATTTTTAAAAAATAATAAAAAGGTTATATATTTCATCAAATTATATATTTTATTATTCTTTTACGTTAGTTAAAGCAGTTAGAAGTTAAGCAATATCTTTACAATTTTTTTCAAATTGCACTTTTTTTCTGGCTCTCGTTCCTCGAGGTTGCCAATCTATAATATTTGTTAATGTCAGTACAATACAGTATATACTTATTGCTATAAATTGATATTATATGTTATATATATTATTTAAATTTAAATACCAGTTTTTAATTTTTGAACTTTCATATTGGTCGATGTCATGACTTGATTTTTTATTTGTTCTTTGTTTGTTGGAGTATTATCTATAATAAAATTATGACGTATATAAAAAAAAATGTTAACATTTTGTAAATATTATATTTATATACATTATATAGTATTAATTATTATTATTATTTTATTACTAACTTTATTTCTCTTCAGACGAATGTACTTCATTCGAACATTCGTCTGCCAATGCCTTGATGAATACTTTTATTTTATTGTTATTTTTAATGTCTTCATTGCGCCTCTTTACTCTTTTATCAGCTCGTTTCCCTCCTGTGATAAAAAAAAAAGAAAATAGTATAATTTTTACAGAACTTACTATAATTTTATATATATATATTATTATTTATACTGTAACGGGGTGGATACCGTTTAATTAATTTATTTGCGCAATCGTACTGAAGGGCGTCACTGATCGGGTGTCAGTCAACCAACTATTTGCTACCGTGAAATAAATACGTCGGCAATCTTGTTAGTATCACAAGCGAGAACTCTTTATTACTTCTGAATATTACACTACATTCGGCCCACGTGTTTATGTTTACATCTCGCGCGCACGACAACAACATGCAGTATCGGATCGCTCGCCGCTCGCAGTTTGCAGAGTTATTACATGCACGCTTTTTGTCGAGTCGAGAGATTAGTTGTTTAGCAATTCTACCGCGATCGCGAAATTAAGCTGGCCAGCTTACTTTTTTAATTCTCGCACGGGTTACAAGGGAGATGACGGAGACTCGTACGGCACACGCTATGTCTTTGTGTAATGTTTATTTGCCGGCTGTGAGGCCTCTCGCTCACTGTTTCGCCCTTGATGGCAAAACTCACCGCTCACACACACCTGCACACACTCTTGTACGCACACTCTCCGGACGTAATGCTATGGTACAGCTCCTTATTTCTCGGCACTGCACTCCGGAAAACTCGGGGAAAACTCTCGATCTTTTAGGTAGCAGTTGAGCGTGCGAGTTCCCAACTTTCAACTTGCTGCTCTCTCTATCAGTAGCTATTCCTGCACTTGGATCAGCTCGTCTCGGCACTCGGGAAAGCTCGGGAACTATCAACTATCTCACCTTGCACAGCTTAGCGACCGGGTGCTAATCTTCGACTCCTCTCAGGCGATATCGATAGCTGATCCTCGACTCCCTCATTTTCATACGCGCGTATTCCGTCCCGTCGCGTGCCGAATTCCCTCGTCACATTTTCCCCAACCGGTAGGTGCTGCAGTCACGGGCAACCACATGATTGGGCCGTTAGCGCTAATAAGACATTTACCGTCACAATACAACAAAATATTTTTAAACTTTTCGTACTATATATAAAACAAAATACTTTTAACTCATCTTTTCGTTTTTCCCATCTTGTTTTATTATCACGTATTACGGTTATTGGTTATAACGGTTATTTACGGTTATAAAAACAATATTATATTATTTCAATGGACATACGAGAATTTGGTTTTATTGCACGAGAGAATTTTAGACTAAAGAAACCTACCCTTTATTTGTTATAAATTAGTAAAGTTATTATTTGTTGTTTTTATATTAACAAAACTGTTTTATATTTATATATATCGTAATTCCTTGTACCTAGTTCTTCTTATCTTGTAATGTATAATATTATTATTATATTATTATAATATTATTATTATTATTATATTATATTAAAATTAAAATTGAAATAATAATTATATACATAAACTTGATTGTTGCATTATTACATGTGGTATTCACAATAAAAGAATTGCGTTTATCATAAGCAAATTAGATAAACGCAATAGAAGACAATAACGAAAGAGTCAAATAAAAGGCTGCTTATAGCACTTCAGTCGCTATTAGCGCCTATACCACAGCTGCTCAAAGCGCTGTCTCAGGCTGTGAGAAAATATTATATACGACTTCATTATATAAATTATATTATATTTATATTTTTTACAAAATAATTTAATAATTTATTTAGAAATATATTTTTTAAATAAAAATACATTTTCATAAAATAATATGAGAGTTTCTACATATTGTCTTAGTTTAGAAGAAGCTTTGATGGTTTTAAATCCCTCAGCACTTCTGAAAGATATTCAAATTGAAAAATTTCATAATTTATTACAATTAAATTCTAATTTCAAACCAAAGACTACGTTTTATACTACTGTATTTAATAATGATCCACAAAGTATACGATTTGAGCCACTTTCTCATCAATTTCCACATTTACAAATATTGCACAGCTGTGATAACAATTGTTTCGAAGGTAAATGTGAAAATGGTCATTGGGTTTGTTCTTACTATGATACTACTACTGTGGGCAAAAAGTAAGGTGAATTTGTTTGTAAAATGAAAAATCTTTATTTATTCTTCTACATCAATGTCATCCTCTTCGAAGTAATCCCCTCCCGATAAAATACACTTATGCCAACGTTTTTTCCAATCCTCGAAACATGCCAAATAGTCCCTTTCCGGTATAGCCATCAGCGCCTTCTTCGATTCAGCTCTTATCTCCTCAATCGACTCAAAACGCGTTCCCCGGAGTGGTCTCTTGAGTTTTGGGAATAGCCAGAAGTCACACGGAGTCAAATCAGGCGAATACGGTGGTTGCGGAACGATATGCGTCGAATTTTTGGCGAAATGGTCACGAAGAACGAGTGCAGTGTGAGATGGTGCATTATCGTGATGCAAAAACCAAGAGTTGTTGGCCCATAATTCTGGTCTTTTTAGACTAATTGCTTCACGCAAACGACGCATAACGCTCAAATAATATTCCTTATTAACAGTTTGGCCGGGTGGAAGGAATTCATAGTGCACCACACCACGAAAATCGAAGAAAACTGTCATCATGACCTTGATTTTTGAACGACTTTGACGTGCACTTTTCGGTCTGGCCTCGCCTTTAGCACGATATTCGCTTGATTGGTCGGTTGTTTCAGGGTCGTAAGCATAAATCCAAGTCTCATCTCCCGTAATCATGCATTTGAGCTTGTCCTGATAGTCAGAAAGCATTGTTTCACACACATCAACGCGGCGACTTTTTTGCAAGAAATTGAGCGTTTTCGGTACCAAACGAGATTTGACTTTTCGTAGGCCCAAATGGTCTTTCAAAATTGTTTTCACAGATCCTTCTGATATTCCGATCATATCAGTAAGGTCTCTAACAGTCAACCGACGATTTTCGAGCACTAATTCCTTCACTTTATTGACGTGTTGGTCATCTGTTGACGTCGATGGTCGTCCGGAGCGCTCCAAGTCATCAACACGTTCTCAACCCTCTTTGAAGTCTTTGTACCACTTATAAACATTTTTCTGCGACATGGTAGAATCACCAAAGGCCTTCCGCAACATCCTCAACGTTTCCGCAGCCGAAATTTCATTCCGCAAACAAAATTTGATGGCACTTCTTTGCTCAATTAAATCAGACATTGTAAAAATCGAAACATGCACTCTTGGTCGTTTGGTAAATACAAGCGTAAATATATTACTGATGATAACATTGACATGAAATTTGTCCCAGATGTCATTCGCAGTCCTACCAACTCAAGAAAAAAAGAACTAGCCCGAAATGTTAAGCCCGCGAAGTTTAAATTGAAAATTCACCTTACTTTTTGCCCATAGTAGTAAAGCTATTTTCATTTATGATTCATTGAATCTAAAACAATTACATAACAGTCATAAAATATATCTCAGAAAATTGTTCCGTCATTTTGATGATTTGCCAATATATTTTCCTAAAGTTCAAAATCAGGATAACGCAGTCGATTGTGGCGTTTATGCCATAGCATTTGCAATTTCTATATTCTTCAACAACACGCCAAATACAGTTGCATATGATAAAACGAAAATGTGAAAACACATCTTTGACATGTTCCAGTCCGATAAACTGGTACCATTTCCCGTATTACCTGATGACCTGAGTGAAAATTCATTAATAAAAATGGTTATTTCTCATAAAACAAATGAAACATATGTTGTTAATGATAGCACAAAATTAATTGCAACTGCAAATCCTCAAGTGATTTCGCAATATGAATCGTCATGCTATAATAATCTATGAAAAGTTATCGGCATAGAAAACAAAGATAAAGTTTCTTGTTATGCTAGTTCAAGCTTACAAAGCTTGTTTCACTGCCCCTCTATTAGATTTAGATTATTAAAATATCCAGAACAAAATACGTTATACGAGGTTTTTAAAGAGTATGTATCTGGTAACAACGTCCAAATAGCGACAGTGAAATGTTTCGTCGGACATAAGTTTATTGCAAAACAAAAGTTAGATGCTGCAGATTTCATTCTAGATCTTTATCGTAAATCTAAAAATTTACAAGAAAGTCTCGCTTTTAATATAATTCTAGAAATAGCTTGTAAGTACTGTAATATCTCACGTAAATCAACATCAAATTCCTATTATATACTAACACTACCCCTTTTATCAATTGAAAATCGTACAAGTCTACAAAAAATTGTAGAATATAGTTTTGACAAGTGGACTAATTTGAATATACCTAGTGAAAAAGCATACGACTATAATAAGTATACTAAAATATTTTTAGAAACAAAAAATGATATTTTGATCTTGAAACTGATGATATTCAAACATAATAATGAAGGTAATCGTCATAAAATTACTGATTTTCAATTAAAATCATTTGAAAAAGAAATAATTTTAATTTCTGGTAAAATGTATGAAGTGAAAAGTGCAATATTTCATGATTCTAGTCTTCTATTTGGTCACTATATTACTGTTCGCGAAACAAATCATTGGAAAATAGTTGACGATTTGAACGTTTATATGTGTACTGAGTTATCATCATATGAAAAAAGTGCATACATTATATTTTTATAAAAAATTAATGTAGCAAATATAGAAACTACTATTAATAGACCCATTAATATTGTCAATTCAAATGTTCAACGAAAGTGTGTTTAGAAATTCCCAATCATATCAACAACTCTTCCAAAATTTATTACGTTTAATCACATCAACCTTAGATTTAAGAAAAACGATTTAATTTGTAAGCATACTTTTGACAAATCAGCCGACGACCTTACACTAGATGATGATTTGAAATCTAACGTGTCATCTTATAATTTTTCAAAAAATAGCAAAAATAAATATGCTTCTGCCATGCAATATCATAATGCATCAGATAATAACAAAAATGTTACTATGAATTCTGTTGATTTATGTAAAATTGTAGGTATTGCAAACCCGATCAAAGAGGATGGAAAGATGGTTTCTTGTTATGCAAATTCAAGTTTACAAAGTTTGTTTCATTACCGTTTCGT